CAAAGATTCCCAGGGGCAGCCATTGGTCTTGGTTAGCATCCATATGATCAACCGGACCTCACATAAGTGTCGGCTTGGACGGACTTACGCCTTTTTCGGGTCTGCAGTCCGAGTAATGGGAGGTTGTGGGGGCTCTTTCAGAGGTTTTTTTTTTTTTTTTTTTTGGAAGAAGTCTTTTTTTTTCTTCAAAAAAGCATAATGTTTGCAGTATTAAAAAAAATCATTGAGGCATTAGTACACAGTTTAAACTGAATTACCAATATGTCGGTAAACTTAAAGGCCCTTTTCCACGCCTTTTGGTATATAAGGCCCATTTGTGGAAACTTTGTCTTGTGTTAGTTTCGACAGTGGTACAGAGAGCTGACCGTTCATTAAGCAATGACAAATTACTGAACGTAAAATTTGCCTAGAAAAACCAAAACAGACCCAAAAATGTGATGGGCTTGGTTCTGCAATGTCCTGTAAAGGATACGCAACTAACTTATGTCAGTAAAATATCCCTTGCACATTTTGATTAGTATTTGACATTTAGTGCTACACTCGATTTTTTAAATTTAAACTGACTAACCAAAACTTAGTAAGAGATGTGCTCAGAAATACACACACCGCCTTTACCCCCTAGCACATTTTCCAGCACTCTTTTAATTTTAATTTTCTTCTGCCTTAAGAAGACCAGTTGCCAACTTCTGCTATGGTTGTCAGAGAAGGTGCAATAGCTGCGACCTGTGGCCTAGCATAGCTGATTTAAGCAAACGTCTAATAAGTTGCCTTTTAGGACATGCTTTAGCGAAGCAGTGAATCTTGTTTACCCAGAATGGGTTGGTTGTCAGAACCAGAACGAGGGTTGTAAAAATATACTGACACAGCTTGTGTCTAGGTCAGTTTTATGAAGTTGTCTCAGTGAGGATTCGAACTGATAAGCATCACACAGGTAAGTGAACGTACTAGCCACAGTACGTGAAACCGCAGCTGCTACAAGTAACGGTAACTGATCTTGATGTTAGGTAAAGACGCATCGCATAAATGATGATATAGTACTATTTTACAGATCAATCGGAACTCGTTGTGTGTGATGTATTTAAAACCACGCGCACCGCCTTCACTTCTTGAGATTGGTACCTATTGTAGACCGAGTCGAACTGGGCGTCAAGGTTATGTTTTGAAGGAAGAAAATTTTATTCCATGCGGACTCGAACCCGAGGCTTTCGGGCTGATATTGTTGTTTGCATCCTCCCGCCTCTCCAGACAATAGTGTTACAGTATGCGCTGTGAGAAGGCATGGGACTCACAGCCCATGGCGATGTGACTAGCGAGACCGGCCAGCGTTAAGGAGGTTTGAAGGTTTGAACAACAGATCAACATCACGGCACACAAATATTAACCTATAAGTGCTCCGTTCTTCTTCTAACTCAAGTCTGAGTCCGAAGAAGCCCAGCACAGAGCACAAGCTATGTAGCACCGGCAAGGATCTTGAAATACTTTAGGTAGATTTTAAACTTCAAATTTTGCCCGGGCTGCGCCGTTAGGTTACTCTTTTCAATTTCCAACTGCCAACGGATTTTTTTACGTGCGCAACAATACACACGGGCGTCCGGTCTTACTACTAAGACACCAGAGGGAATTACTAGAAGTCCAAGTCCACGCGAAAAAATCCCAGTTCTTACTGGGGATTTAACCCGGTACCTCTAGCACTATAGTTGGATACCATATCTCAAGACCACGCAGCACCCTCGGCGTCAAGAAAAGCTTTCCAAAATTATAGCATAGGATTTCAGAACCGTTATTTGTTTTTAGTATGTTTTTTCTCAGACCCTCAACTCTTATCCTTTCTGCAATCTTTCATTTCCTTATTCTAATTCCGTTCCCGATTTTTTTCCGCTCCACGAAATACGGTCCATGGAACTGTTGCCAAGAATCCATCTAATACCGGTATCATTCATGTCTCGCTTGCACGCATCTGCATATCGTATAAGAAGTCGGCCTCAACATCTTCTATTAGTCTTTAATTCACCATATACAATTTCCTTATGGACTCCAATTGTCCAGGTGTGACCCGACCACATTAACCTTCATAGACTGAGCATTGGGAAACCCGTTATAATACCTGCTCTTTCCAATACCTCAGCGTTTTGTGATCTTGTCTTGCCATTTAATGCCAAGTTCTTTTCATAGGCCTACATGAGAGAGTAATAATAATGTTAACGTATTATATTCCAGAACCTGTATGCCTGAACGTGACTCTACGAGAAACTGGTAGTGATCGCTCGGTTCATACCTTAACTTCCAATAGCAGTTACCCTCTTCAAGTGGTCAGCATGGAGCTGATCAAGCCACTGTCCTTTGTCCAATGTACCAAGTGGGTCAACTACTACTTCGAAGGCAACACGGTCCTGAGTAAAGGTGGATGCTCGGGAGAGTTTGAAGTTTGTTACCTGGAAAATGTTACTGTATTATCGGAGATTACGACTGAACCAGAAGGTATAGCATGCTATGTTTTTCCTTAGCATTCGTCATTACCTCATCTGTTTATGATTCGTTTATTCCCCCCCCCCTCCCCCCGAAACTGAATCGCTTAGCATTATCTCATTTTGTCCATAGCAACACATCATGTATAATAAGCTGTTCAATGAATCACATTCATCATTTGTTTCATTCTCGTCCTTTTCGAAATCTGATCTCCTTAAATCAATCTGCCTTCACAACTGTTAAAGTTACACACCCACGGCTTTTTTTAGTTTCAATTCAAAGTCTTCAGGTACTCCAAGAGTAAAATCTCGAGGACGAGAATCAAACAGGTAGAAATCCTGCACAACCTTTGGAATAGTAACAATCAATCAGTCAGCAGTCCTTTACAGAACGTTGCTCTCTTCAAGGAAAGTCTGAAAGTCTTTCTTTTTCTAGCCACTTCTGCAGCCCCGTGTGCTTGCATAGCCATTGCTTCTTAGGTGACAGGTATCTACATTCTCAAAGATCCGCCTCTGCGTTCTTTTCATGAAACTGCACTCTCAATCACCGTTTTCTCGTTTGACATGCCAATTATCTCAAATTTTCCTGAGAAAATGCTGTTTTTTTTTTTAAAGCGTTTTTCTTTAAAATAAAATAATGTTTCTGTATCATTTCAGTTTAAAAGCTCTCATCAGTATAACAGTTATATTAGGGAATCCAGGGGTTATCAAAAAGGCGTCTGTCATTCACGCGTAGCGAACCTGCCTCGCAATCCCGAGGTACTCTGTTCGATACCAGCTGCGGAGGATTTAGCAACGGACCGTTTGCGTTGATGACGACAATGATATGGGAAGCCGACTGTTCATGATTTCGTGGCAAAATACTTAACGCAAACTTGCCTAATAAAAATTAAAAGATAAAAACAATTGGGTTGGTTTTGCAAAAGATAACTAACTTTAAGGGCAAGGGCAAACTTCTAAACGTAAAATATTGCCTTGTAACATCAAAAACACCTAACACATGGTGGGGGTGGTTATGCAACGTCCTGTAAAAGATGCGCAGCGAAGTATTTATACAAAGTTCCCGTGTGGGTTCCGTGGCCCCATTGTGGAAGAAAACAAGATTAGACCCATTGCCTTCCCAACTAGCAAGTCGTAAGTGTCGACTTCTTTTGACGTTTGAGTATATCTGCCCGAGATGCAAGAAACAACCAGCGGCACATAAATAAGCCAGTAAAGCGGATGTACACACAAAACTCAGGCTCTGACACGAAGCCAAAGTCGAAGATACAAACAAACATTACTGTAATAGTTAATTTATGTTCTCCTTCTTCTTCTTAACGCTCATGGGCTGTAAACTCCGGCGGAAAGTTCGAGCTGTTTGTCCATTTCTAGACTTTGGTCTTGTTCCAATACTTGAGTTTTGTGTACACATCCGTTTCTTTTTACAGATTTGGATTATTTGTATGCAGACTGTTGATTCCTCGCCTCTCAGGCAGACCACTCAGACTTCAAAGGAAACATCCCTGTTTGGTTTTCATGTAGGACATTCATGTAAGAGAAAACCGGAACACTTATAGAGAATCGTTATTACATTGAATTAAATCAATAAACGCCTCTAGCCACACCTCTGACTCACCTGGGCTTTGATATCCTCGACCGATATCTGTATTGATCACAAGGCATTCAGTATGACTTAATCACCACCGGCTTGTCCGCCTTGACTTCTAAGAATATTTTCGGACACACTTGAAAGTTAAGATCGTCCTACGTGTCGGATCGTTTTTGAAAAATGTGCTAATAATATTAATAAAGGAAGGTGAAGTTTAGGTTGGTGGCCGGTGAACATCAGATATATGTTGTTAGCCTCAAATGTTTATAGTCCAGTCGACACTCCATAGGTGATGTGGTGAACCTCACTCCGACTGTCCGCGTGTCCTAGGACCTGCGACATTGTCTGGCTGGTACCCACTTTAGGCTGTGTCGACCTAGAGTCAAAATTATTATTACTTCCAAATCCACCCCGTGGGGATTTAAACATAAGACCTTTTCATCTAGCCTAGGGGTCGGAACCTTAAGGCCCACTCCACGGGGCTTTATCCTCCAAAAAATAAAATAAAAATAAAAACCCTCAACTTTTTAAAGGGGTTTAGACTATCCCTTATAGATATGCAAATTCTCTTTGAAAGTATTTAGCTATACACTACACGTCGTCATCATTATCATCATTATCAATATCCACTTCTGCTGGTAAGTGTTGTGGAGAGGAACAGTTTGCGATCCAATGCTTGATGGACAGCAATTGTTATTGTCATTAATGTCATCAATCCATCTTCTCCTAGAGCAGCCGCTTGCTTTCATTTCAGATCATTTCATGTGTAGCGCCTGCGTCGATAGTTGTTCTGGCTGCATTCTTACTAAATGACGAAACACGGCACATTGCTTATGATATATTGTTTTATTGATTTGCTGTTTAGTGGTGAGTTTCACACATAGTGCGTTGTTTGGGACATAAAGAGTCACTAATTGTTGTAACATCTGCTACCTCTCCACCAGGTCAAACGTGCAGGTTCATTTCCTTGTCCAGTATCCAAAAGCGCCGGTTCAGCCTTATGGTCACTAACGTCAAGGGAGAGGATGTCGCCCTTAGAAGTGTGCAACTTGCAAGACAACTCTCTGAGGTTCCCTGTGTTCTGAAAAGAACGTTTGACTATGAGGGTTCTTATGTTGAGTCTAGTGGCGGCTGTATCGGCATATTTCGGATTTGTTATAATACAGAAGATGTAAACTTTACTGCACGTGAGTAATCTTTTGTTTGTTGTCGGGAGGGGGTGGGGGTGGGATGGGGTGGGGGCGGGGCGGGGGATGGCTTAGTGGTCTCCAGGTTTGGTGTCCTCCTAAAGTGCTGGAGGTCCTGGGTTCAAGCCCCGGTGAAGGCTGGGATTTTTTCACGTAAACTTTTAGTAATTTCTTCTGGTCTCTGGGTAGTAAGATCGGACGCCCGTAAGTATTCTTGCGCACGTAAAAATCCCTTGGCAGATGGAAATCGAAAAGCGTAGCCTAACGGCGCTGCCCGGGCAAAAATGTGGAGTTGAAAATCTACCCAAAGTATTTCAGGATCCTCACTAGGAGTTCGTGCATTGCGCTGAGATTCTTTAGACTCAGGCTTGAGTTAGAAGTAGAAAGAAGCCCTTATAGGTTACACGCGTGTACCATAATGTTGATCCGTCGAATAAACATAAACATGAACCATTTTGTTGGTGTTTCACACGTTTTTACACCATGTTTGATATATTTTCCAGCGGTGTAGCGGATAGACGCTCATCTACAGATCTGAGGGTCACAGGCTGAAATCCGCAGTATCTGATTTTTTTAATAAGAAACTTGGTTCCTGGGTCGACCGCACTTTAAATGTGTACCAGGTAAAGCCATTGGAAGTAAAGGGGCCAGGGTGATGTTGACCACATCATCATTGCGTTTTCTGTTGTTGTTAATACAAGTATGTAGCTATATTGCAGCCCTTTTATACCAATGTTAATAGACTAGGCTTTGAGACACAAAAGAGTTCGTGTAAAATTAAACCCCGGAAAACGACTAGACTTCTTTTAATGCTAAGCTTGAAGTGACTTCCAAACGGACTTTTCATCTGTTGCTGTTTCAGTGTGAAGACTCTCTTGTAAAACCTCGTGACTGTAGTACGCTGTCAGCAGTCAGTTAAGTCAAAATTAGTCTGTTTTGAGTAGTTTTAGACGACCATACTGAATCACTACCAGGGCTCTAGGTCTTATTGTCAATCTTGGTTTTGACGAGACTACACAATGCAAATTAGAATCAGCGGTGGCTGGTCCAGACACCTAACTACCGGATGAAGCTGAAGTATCACCAACATAAGACGAGTTCTCATTAATACACTCAGGCCGTAACTCCAATGTCTAGCACATAAACATGGTCATGTTTTCTTAGAGCGTTAATATACCTAAACAATTCTTTTCTGTAATTTATTGCAATATAATTGACAAAACTGACCTTCTGGTTGTAGAATCAATTTCAATTGTAATATTACTTTTGTCAGAGTTTAGTTTAAATTTTTTTTTTATCAATTTTAACTTAAAACCAAGGGTCAGAGGGCATTGAACCCTTTTCCTTTAACTACTTAAGCTGTGAGTGTTAATTCATTTTCTTGGGATCTCAGAGAAGCAAACCAGATGTTTTGTCAGAGGCGCGGGCTGAAAGACCACTTATCACAAAGATCAAAATGAGACAGTCGTTATTTTTGGTCCTAATATGAACAGGAGGAAACAGGAACATATTGTGACCACTGGAAAGATATATGGAAGGAGAGACTGGGAAGAAATAAAGAGGCGATTCGTCACTGCCTTTTGTCATCTCACGGAGGGGTGTCAACATAAGAACTGTTAGACACTGTTAAAAACTAAGCTTGCGGTAAGGCATGATCGCCCATGCCCAATAGTAAGGCTTTTGGGGCGGTACCGAGGCTCACCCAGCCTCTAGGAAATAGGTACCAGTGTAAATAAAGGAACGTCGCTGTAGCTATGTAGTTTCGTGCGGACGGCGACACAGACGGACAGTTTCCTATCAACTGTCCGTACAGGTGGCAGAGCACTTATGGTTTATAACTGTGTGCAGTGACGATGGTTCACAGCTCCTGACGTTACTTTGATCTTAAACATGTAGAGTGAGTTTTTAGTACAAAGAGGGGACTGCTTGGACTCGAGGCATGGTGTCCGCATCGAGTGCTAGATGTATCCGGATCGGGCCCCGGTGAGGGCTGAGATTTTTTTTTTCAAGTGGATTTTTATTAATTTCCTAGGTCTCTGGACACCCGTGGGTATTGTTGCGCACTTAACAAACCCCTTGGCAGTTGCAAATCGAAAAGGCGCTGCCTGGGCAAAATTTGGAGTTGATAATCTACCTAGAAAATTGCAAGATCCTCGCAGCCCGTGTACCGCGCTGAGCTATTTCGGACTCGCTGGGTTCTCAAATGGTAGATCTGCTTTCGTCAAGCAAAAAAAAAAAAAAAAAAAAAAATCATAGTTTGCACAGTCCTTGGCGACAGCATTGGCCGTGCGACCATAAATCCTCACACTCAAGGACCGACACTTATAGCTAAAAACCGGTTACACAGCCAGTAATGGAAATGTCTTTAATGGTAGTTTTTCAGCAGATTTTAATGCAAAGAACCGTGTAAACATCTTGTCTAAATCAAACAGCTAAAGGTGCAACTTGTGACAGAGAGATCGCAATGTTCAGCTACATATCAGAACCTGACAAGTACAAGCTCACAGTCAAAGACCGCCCTGTGATTATCCGAGATATGATTCTGGTAGAGCAGATTTCTGAGATAGCCTGTGTTTTTGGAGATTCCTACTTTTTTAATGGGTCCACTCTCTACGCCAAAGACGGCTGCAAGGGCGTCTTTAGGATTTGCTATGTCGCCAAAGAAGATCAAACAGTGGCTCCGACACTGGGAGTTACACCTACAGGTAAGTGTCAGTTCCAGAAGCTGTAATCTACTTAAATAATTGATAACTAAGTAGCTGTTATGTGTAAGTAATTGATATTTGTGTGTAAGTTGTTGCCATTTGGCATGCAACCTGTTAATAATCACATGCCTGTGAGAATTTTTAATTTTTCTTTTAAATTGTAACCAACATCTAGTTTTCATTACATATATCAAACAGACACTGATTTATATCAAACAGCCAGCATGCTTACAGTCAACTGAGTAACGGAAATTTTTCAAAACATTACCGCGTTTCATACACGTTACAATATAAGGTGGTCATCTAAAGCTTTAGTCTCCCGTGAGGTGTAGATTTTCATTGTATGCGAGATATGCTATCAAAATAATCACCACGCAACGCTGCACATGCAAACTGATTTCCAAACACATGTACAACTGCAAATTTCATGTTGACGGGACGTTGGCATTACCCACAGAGTGCTGATTTGTCTGTAAAGTATATGGGTCTAGCATTGAATGCCCAATACGCCCAAAGGTGGCAAAAAGGGTGGTGTAACTACTACCAAATTACCCACTGAAAGAAAACTGACAAATTACAAAGATAGGGAGGTAAGAGACCAAAGTCAACAGTATCAAGTTGAGGGTACAATCTACGATATTCTTTCCACGGTACACACTAGCTCGCTTCTGATTGGTGGGCTCGGCCTCTGCTCATCCGACCTTCGCACACTGCTGGGGGGTGGGGGGGGGGGGGGGAGGGGTTCGGCAATTCGTTCATATCGCTTGGTGTATATTCAAGCACGCCATCGCTTTTAACACTACAAAAACATTTGCAAACTGGCTCTAACCCACAACCCCCCTAGAGAGTGCTGCAACCTATGTCACAGGCATTCTTTTTTTTTGGGGGGGGGGGGGGGAAGAAAAACGTAAATGCAAGTCAAGCCCGACCCCCTGGACAGCAGACAGGTCTAAAAAAATATATCAATGGAACGCGACATAGTTTGGCAGGGGAGATAATCGTGGATCTCCCCTAAGTTGAGGTCCCTTTACATGACAGTGAAGCATCGGACATAGGAAACTATACTCATGTGTTTACAGACCAATCAGCCATGTGATCGACATCCCACCGGCCACCTCACATGATTTTTCTGGTGCCATTGAAGGCTGTGGTGAACTGAGAGCAAGAGTTGCCGTGGTGTAGCGGCTAGACTCTAGCCAGCGAATCAAAAAGGCCTGGGTTTGGGTCCTGACGGAGTTTGATGTTTTGCAAAAAATTACTCGGCTCCTAGGTTACCCAGCGTTGTGTGGGTACCAGGTGCTGTCCTGAGAAGTAAAGATGGTCGACGTGATGCTGACCACATCACTCACCGAGTGCTGATTGATTCATAAAACGTTGTCTAGCTCTATATGCCGTAATCACATGAAGACTCAGAAAGAGGTAATTTACTTTCGCTTTTTACTTACCAACTGAGAGCAAGATAAAAAGGGAAAATATCCACCTCCATGAGGATTTAAACACACACCTTGCGATCCGGAAGCGAGTGTCCAGCCGCTATATCCCTGCGTTTGCTAAAAGTCCCCTGAGTGATAGAACCTTGTTCTTGCGTGAAAAGTAATACTTCATTTTAGCCTATTTAGAGTGGAAATTTATAGATGTGTCTTTGTAAACTTGTAAAGTAACAAATAATCCCCCCCCCCCTCTCAACAACAACAAAAATCGTTATAAATGCACTTAGATAACTTTGATGAAGTATCAGCGATATTTACCAAACGCTGAAAGGGAAGACTATCTTTTTATTTGTTATCACAATTTATTTTTTATTTTTTTTTTTTTTTTTTAAACCAAGTCTCACAGCAAGTAACGACAGCAGAGACCACAATTGGAGGTATGTATGTTTATAAACTAGATCCATGAAATGTACTAGTTTGTTACCTCTACAGTACCTTGTGTAATTCTTGCGATCTTGTTTCTGTCTTTCTTTGAGGGGGCTTTAAACATGGCAGAAAAATTAAATTAAAGAACGCTGATTTTTTTTTCTGCATGTCAAATGTGTGGCGATCATTATTATAACTCAGATTACGACGTCATCGGTTCGTCTGCACCGTGAAGTCACATGCGTAACACTATTGCGATCCTTAACAGTACTGACAGTTTACAAGTGACCGTCAAGATTATTGTAATTGGGGATATTTTGGGGCTGGAACTGAAAAGGGGTATCTTCGGATGTCGGCGAAGGAGGGTCCTGAAAAGGAGCAACAGTTTTTCTGTATGCATACTCGTTAGATAGGGTGAGGGTTAGATGCAGGAATGTGTAGCTGAGAAGGTGGTTAACTGATTCACACTTGTAGACACATGCTCATACACAGCACACACATACACACATTCACTAATGCACATCCACTTGTTTAACTGCACACATACACACATACACACACATACACACACACACACACAAACACACACTCTTACACACCATATACATTGCTATATTTCGGCACCTGGGACTTGGGACATGCGCAACTAAACAGGGTACCACAGTTTTAGAACGGCAAAATTCGTCGTGCTCCTTTCTTCTTTTAACTAAATTCTGAGTCTGAAGAAGCTCAGCACAGTGCACAAGTTCTGTAGCACCTGCGAAGATCCTGAAATACTTAGTAGATTTTTAAACTTCAAATTTTGCCCGGGTAGCGCCGTTAGGCTACTCGTTTCAAATTTCAACTGCTGAGGGATTTTTTTGAGTTTTCAACAATACACACGGTCGTCCGGTCTTGATACCCAAACACTAGAGAGAATTACTAGAAGTTCGAGTCCACGTGAAAAAATCCCAGTTCTTACTGCGGATTGAACCCGGTACCTCTAGTACAATAGTCGGAACCATGTCTCTAGACCACGCAGCGCCCTCCGCGTCAAGAAAAACCTTTCAAACTTATACCATAGGATTTTAGAACCTTTTTTTTTATTGTGTTTCTTCTCAGATGCTTAGCTCTTATACTTTCTGCAATCTTTTATTTCTTTTTTCTAATTCCCGATTTTACCCCTCCATGAAATACGGTCCATGGAACAGTGTTCCCAAGAATCCATCTCAATACCGATATCATTCATGTCTTGCTTGCGCTCATCTGTATATCGTATAAGAGGTCGGCCTCAACATCTTCTATCAGTCTTTAATTCACCATAGAAACATTTTCTTATGGACTCCAGTTGTTCAGGTGTGACACGACCAAATGAACCTTCGTAGACTGAGCATTGGGAAACCCGTTATAATACCTGCTCTATCCAATACCTCAATGTTTGTGATCATGTCTTACCTGTTAATGCCAAGTACTTTTCATAGACCTACATGCGAGAGTAATAATAAGATTAACGTATTATATTCCAGAACCGGTATGCCTGAACGTGACTCTACGAGACACTGGTAGTGATCGCTCGGTTCATACGTTAACTTCCAATAGCAGTTACCCTCTTCAAGTGGTCAGCATGGAGCTGATCAAGCCACTGTCCTTTGTCCAATGCACCAAGTGGGTCAACTACTACTTCGAAGGCAACATGGTCCTGAGTAAAGGTGGATGCTGGGGAGAGTTTGAAGTTTGTTACCTGGAAAATGTTACTGTATTATCGGAGATTACGACTGAACCAGAAGGTATAGCATGCTATGTTTTTTCCCCCCTAACATTCAACATTACCTCGTCTGTTTATGATTCGGTAATTTTCTTACTCCAGAATTGCATCGGGTAGCATTACCTCATTTTTTCCAAAGCAACACATCATGTATAATAAGCTGTTCAATGAATCACATTCAACATTTATTTCATTCTCGTCTTTTTCGAAATTTGATCTCCTTATATCAATCTGTCTTGACAACTGTAAAAGTAACACACCCACGGCTTCTCTTAGTTTCAATTCAAAGTCTTCAGGTACTCCAAGAGTAAAATCTCCAGAACGAGAATCAGACAGGTAGAAACCCTGCACAACCTTTGGAATAGTAACAATCAATCAATCAGCAGTCCTTTACAGAACGTTGCTCTCTTCAAGGCAAGTCTGAATGTCTTTCTTTTTCTAGCCACTTCTGCAGCCCCGTGTGCTTGCATAGCCATTGCTTCTTAGGTGACAGGTATCCACATCTAAGAGGTGCGCCTCTGCGTTCTTTTCATGAAACTGCACTCTTCATCACCGTTTTCTCGTTTGACATGCCAATTATCTCAAATTTTCCTGAGAGGATGATGTTTTTTTAAAGCGCTTTTCTTTAAAAAAAAAGAATGTTTCTGTATCATTTCAGTTTAAAAGCTTTCATCAGTATAACAGTTATATTATGGAATCCAGGGGTTATCAAACAGGCGGCTGTAACTCACGCGTTGCGAACCTGCTTCGCAATCCTAAGGTACTCCGTCGATACCAGCTGCGGAGAATTTGGCAACAGACCATTGGTGTTGATTTCGAAAATTATATGGGAAGCCGACCGTTCATGTTTGTGGCAAACTACTTTACGTAAACTTGCCTTGAAAAAACTTTACAAATTAAAAAAAAATTGGGTTGGTTTTGCAAAAGATAGCTAACTTTAAGGGCAGGTGCAAACTGCTAAACGTAAAATATTGCCTTATAAAACCAAAAACCAAAAACACCTAACAAATGGCGGGGTTGGTTCTGCAACGTCCTGTAAAAGATGCTCAGCGAAGTATTTATACAAAGTTCCCGTGTGGGTTCCGCGGCCCCATTGAGGAGTTACACAAGATTAGACCCATTGCCTTCCCAACAAGCATGTCGTAAGAGTCGACTTCCTTTAACGTTGGAGTATATCTGCCCGAGGGGCAAGAAACAACCAGCGGCACTTAAATAAGCCAGTAAAGCGAATGTACACACACAACTCAGGCAGTGGCTCGAAGCAGAACTCCAATTGGACCAACAACCAGGACTTTCCGCCAGAGCTTACAGCCGGTGAACAAAGAAGGAGACGAACATACAAACAAACATTACTCTAATGGTTAATGTATGTTCTCCTTCTTCTTCTTAACGCTCATCAGCTGTAAACTCCGTCGGAAAATTCTAGGTGTTCGTCCATTTCTAGACTTAAGTCTTGTTCCCAGACTTGAGTTTTGTGTACACATCCTTTTTGTTGTTGTTGATTTCTCATCTCTCAGGCAGACCACTCAGACTTCAGAGAAAACATCCCTTATTAGTTCTCATGTAAGACATGCGTGTCAGGGAAAACCGGAATCCATATAGAGAATCGTTCTTATATTGAATTAAATCAATAAAAGCTTCCAGCCACACCTTTCTGACTCACCTGGGCTTTGATGTCCTCGACTGATATTTGTACAAGGTATTCAGTATGACTTGATCAACACCGGCTCCTCTGCTTTGACTTCTAAGAATATTTTCGGACACACTTGCAAGTTAGTGTCATTCTATGGGTCGGAGCATTTTTGAAAAATGTGCTAATAATAATAATGTAAGGTAAAGTTTATGCTGGTTGAATATCAGATATATGTTGTTAGACTCAAATGTTTACAGTCCAGTCAACACTTGATAGGTGATTTGGTCAACATCATTCCGACTGTCCGCGTGTCCTAGGACTTTCAACATTGTCTAGCTGGTACCCGCTTTAGGCTGTGCCGACCTGTGAGTCAAAGTAATTATTACTTCCAAATCCACCCCATGGGGATTTTAAACCTAAGACCTTTTCATCTAGCCTAAGGGTCGGAACCTTAAGGCCCACCCCATGGGACCCTATTCCCCAAAAAAATAAAAAATAAAAACTTCAACTTTTTAAAGGTGTTTAGGCTACCCCTTGTAACGTATATATGTAAATTCTCTTTGAAAGTATTTATCTATACACCACACTTCGTAATCGTTATCATGTCATCAATTTCCACTTCTGCTGTTAAGCGTTGTGGGGAGGAACATGTTTGCGATCCAATGCTTGATGGACAGCAATTGCTACGGTCATTCTGTGTCAATGTAGAAGCTCTTTAGTGTCATCAACCCATCTTCTCCTAGGGCGGCCTCTTGCTTTCATTTCAAATCATTCCATGTTTAGCGCCTGCGTCGATAGTTGTTCTGGTTGCATTCTTACTAAATTACCAAACACAACACATTGCTTCTAATATATTCTTATATTGATTTTCTGTTTAGGGCTGTTTTCACACATAGTTCGTTGTTTGGGACATAAAGAGTCACTAATTATTGTAAAATATGCTACCTCTCCACAGGTCAAACGTGCAGGTTCATTTCCTTGTCCAGTATCCAAAAGCGCCTGTTCGGCCTTATGGTCACCGATGTCAGGGGAGAGAATGTAGTCCTCAGAAGTGTGCAACTTGCAAGACAACTCTCTAAGACTCCCTGTGTTCTGAAAAGAACGTTTGACTATGAGGGTTCTTATGTTGAGTCTAGTGGCGGCTGTATCGGCATATTTCGGATTTGTTATGATATAGAAGATGTAAACTTTACTGCACGTAAGTACTTTTTTGTTTGTGGTCGTGGGGCTGAGTGGTCACGATGTCTGGTGTCCCCTCGAGTGCTCGAGATCCCGCGTTCAAGTCCCGGTGAAGGCTGGGATTTTTTCATGTGGACATCTAGTAGTTTCCCCTGGTCTCTGGGTAGTAAGATCAGACACCCCTGTGTATTCTTGCGCAGGTTAAAAAAAAAAAAAAAAACAAGGAAAAACAACAACCTTCGGCAGTTGTATGTCAAAAAGAGTAGCCTAACGGCGCTGCCCGGGCAAAAAATGTTGAGTTGAAAAATCTACCCATATTTCAGGATCCTCACCAGTGGAACGGAGTTCGTGCATTGCGCTGACATTCTTTAGGCTTAAGTTAAAAGTAGAAAGGAGCACTTATAGGTAACACCCGTTACCATGATGTTGATTCGTGGAATAAACATAAACATAATCTTTTTTGTTGGTGTTCCACACGTTTTTAAACCATGTGTTATATATATGGGCCACGGGTGTAGCGGATAGACGCTCAACTGTGGATCTGAGGGTCTTAGTTTGAAATCAGCAATGTCGGATTTTTTCATACGGACATTGGTTCCCAGGTCGACCGCGCTATAAATGTGTAACAGGTAAAGCTATGGGAAGTAAAGGAGGCCAGTGTGAAGTTGACCACATCATCTATTGAGTTTTCTGTTGTTGTTAGTACAAGTATACAGCGATATTGCAGCGGTTTTATACTAATGTTAATAGACCAGGCTTTGAGACACAAAAGAGTTCGTGTAAAAGTAAACACCAGAAAACGCCTAGACTTCTTTTACTGCTGAGACAGAAGAGCTCGCCTTGCAGTGACTTCCAAATTGACTTTCCATCTGTTGCTGTTTCAGTGTGAAGACTTTCTTGTAAAAAACCTTGTGACTGTAGTACGCTATCAGCGGTCAACTAAGTCAAAGTTAGTCTGTCTGAAGTAGTTTTAGACGACCATACTGAATCACTACCAGGGCTGTAGGTCTTATTGTCAAGCTTGCCTTTGAGGAGACTAAACAATGCGAATGAGAATCAGTGGTGGCTGGTCCAGACACCTAAACAACAGATGAAGCTGAAGTATCACCAACATAAGATGAGTTATCATCAATACACTCAGGACGTAACTCCAGTGTCTAGCACATAACCATTGTCTAGATCGTTAATATACCTAAACAATTCTTTTCTATAGTTTATTGCAATATAATTGACAAAACTGAACTTGTTGTTGAGTCCATTTCACTTGAGGCATTACTTCTGTCAAAGTTGAGTAAAAAAAAAAAAATATTCATTTTTATTTAAAAGCAAGGGCCAGCGGGCATTGACCCTTCTCCTTTAACTACTTAAGCTGGAAGTGTTAATTTCTTTTCTTGGGATCTCAGAGAAGCAAACCAGATGTTTTGTCAGAGGCGCGGGCTGGAAGACCACTTAAACACAAGTTCAGAAAGAGACAGTCGTTATTTTTGGTCCTAATATGAACAAGAGGAAACAGGAACGTGGTGTGACCACTGAAAAGATATATGGAAAGAGAGACAGGGGAAGACAACAAGAGGCGATTCGTGACAGCCTTTTATCATGACACGAAGGGGTGTCAACACATGAACTATTCCATGTTGTTGAACAAAAATTCGGTTTGCGGAGAGGCATGATCGCCCATGCCCATTAACAAGGCAGCTGATAATGATTATATATATATATATATACTCACACACACCCACACACACACGCACACACCCACACACACACACACACACCCACACACCCACACCCACACCCACACACACACGCACACACCCACACACACACACACACACCCACACACCCACACCCACACCCACACACACACACACACACACCCACACACACACACCCACACCCACACACCCACACCCACACCCACACACACACACACACCCACACACACACACACACACCCACACACACGCACACACATTAAACCGTCTTCCGAAGAAATCAAACCACAGTACGTCAAGGATTGTGAAATTGCGAAACGAATTCTTCTAACTCTCTGTATGTTAATAACACCGTTTGAATTACATCAACTAAACAGGAACGACAGAAAATAGCATCAAATGCAAGAATCCTGTCAAGACAAAGGAGAATAGCGTAGTTTGAAGCTAAACACATTTTTGCAAACCGATCGGCATTGGATGAGTGGTGTGATCAGCATCACGCCAGCGGCATTTACTTCCCATATATTCATTCTTCGCTTGATCTGTCGACGTCATAACATGAAGTGAAAGATGAATTAAAGAAGTTGACTGTAGAAAAGCTCAAGCAAAGTCTGAATATTACAAAATGAAAAACGATCTATGCAATCTTTCTTTGTCAGTTGAGACGAGAAAGAGAATTTCTATCAACTATATATATTCTATTCTGATATACAAAAGTAAGTCATAGACAGTTGGTCGATTAGTGAAAAATTATTTGGAAGCTGCGGAGATGTGGTTTTATAGACGAATGATGAGAATATCTTGGACCGATAAAAAGGGTAACGAAGATGTCTTGAAAGAAACTGACTCGGAAAGAGAACTGCTGCCCACATCAGAAATAGATAATCTACATTCTTTGGCCGTGTCATGGGAAGAAACTGGAGTATGCCATGACAGAGGGAATGTTGGACAGAAAGAGAGGAAGAGGTAGACCGAGAGAGAAGATGTTGGGACATTTTGAGATCATGGAATAGAAGATCATCTATGTCAGAACTGATGGAAAGTTAATGAAACAAAAGGTTGTGGATAGACATAACTACCAACTCCACACGGTATGGACTATTAAAAAAAAAACAGGTGTCGAACTACTATCGAAACAAATTCGAACCCAAGACGTCTGGGCCGCAAGGTGAACTTATCGACTTATAAAAAATATCAGAAACCGTAATTCATAAAAGAGGTAACAGATTATTCTGAAATCGAGTAAAACAAGAGGAGAAGTAAAGTAAATATCGAAAACACACATTTAAAGTCAGTTTTCTATAGATAGAAAGGGGAAGGGTGGAAAAGGAGGGGGGGGGGGGTGGGGGGGGGGGGGTTGCGTGGTCTCGAGGCATGATGTCCGCCTTGAATGCTAGAGGTCCCGGGTTCGGGTTCCAGTAAGGGCTGGGATTTTTTTCAAGTGGACTTCTAGTAATTTCCCCTGGTCTCTAGTTACTAAGACTGGACACCAGTGTGTATTTTTGCGTACGTAACAAACCACTTGGTAGTTGAAAATCGAAAAGAGTAGCCTAACGGCGCTGCTTTGGAAAAATTTGGAGTTAAAAATCCACCCAATATAGTTTCAGGATTCTCGGAGTCCGTGCAATGCGCTGAGCTATTTCGGACACAAACTTGAGATAGAAGTAGAAAGGGACACTTACGGGTTACTACTCTTATGCCATGATGTTGCTCGGTTGTTCAAATTTCAAACCTCAATAGGTTATGGGGCAGATGGCTCAACTGTTAAGACCGCTGGGCTCTCGAAGGTTATACCTGGTTTCGAACTCTCGGTACAGTTTTGGATTTTTGTTTGTTAAGTCGGGCTGAAAATAAATTCCTAATTTGCACAGTCCATGAGGACAGCATTAACTGTGCGACCATAAATGCTCACACTCAAGGACCCCACACTTAGTTCTCAGAAGTTGTTTGAGGCAGTCATAGCAGTGTTTTTAAAAGGCAGGCTTTCAGCATATTTTAATGCTAAAAACTATGTAAATCTTGTCTAAATCAAACAGTCGAAGGTGAAACTTGTGACAGAGAGATCGCCATGTTCAGCTACATATCAGAATCTGACAAGTACAAGCTCACAGTCAAAGACCGCACTGTGATTATCCGAGCTATGATTCTGGTAGAGCAGATTTCTGAGATCGCCTGTGTTTTTGGAGATTCCTACTTTTTTAATGGATCCACTCTCTACGCCAAAGACGGCTGCAAGGGCATCTTCAGGATTTGCTATGTCGCCAAGGAAGATCAAAAAGTGGCTCCGACACTGGGAGTTACACCTACAGGTAAGCGTGATATAGTCAGTTCCAGAAGTTGTAACACATTTTAAAAATTTATAACTAAGTAGCTGTTATGTGTAAGTAATTAAAATTTGTGTGTAAGTTGTTGACATTTGACATGCAGCCTGTTAATAATCACCTGTCTGTGAGAATTATTGAATTCTTCTTTTAAATTGTAACCAACATCTAGTTTTCATTTTAAATTTTCTATATACATATATCAAACAGACACCGATTTAGAGCAAATAGCCAGCATGCTTACAGTCAACTGAGCAACGGACAATTTTCAAAACATTACCGCGTTTCATACACGTTACAATATAAGGTGGTCATCTAAAGCTTTAGTCTCCCGTGAGGTGTACATTTTTATTGAATGCGAGATATGCTATCAAAAAAATTACTACACATCGCTGCACATGTGAACTGATTTCTAAACAATCTACACGCGTGTGTCAATTATTACCTGTTCTATTGTTTATGACTACAAAAATTATTAGTCTAAGAAAGATCAAAGAATTTCGCTGCTTTAAGGAAACAGCCCGTTACGTACAACTGAACATTTCAACATCATAAGGACATTGGAAATATAAGGCCAAATGCAAAACATTCATGTTAATCCGTTTAGGAGATTTCGAGGTGACTTGTAAAGTGTGAGGGTACAACTTTTAAAATGCACTATAGTTTGTAATAAGACACTCGAAGTAGCGATTTTTGATAAAAGTAATAGTTATAACAGAGACTTTGTAAGTGGTCACTTTTGGTAATTGTGTTTGTTAAAATATCTTCTTATTCTTTGCTTTCCCAACGGTAACGCCCGGCTCTCTAGCGTAGTTGGCTAAACAGGATTGCGCGGAGATCGGGTGACGAACTCCTTGTGGTCCGGGTTCACTCCCGGGGGTAGGCAGGAAAGCCATATTTCTTCCAGATCTGAATGGAATCAAGGCCGAAAGGTTGCGATATCCATAATACCGAGCCTAAGGGTTATCAACTCATGGCGTCTGGATACCAAAACAAACAAACATCACCGGCGGTAAACTCCGACAGAAAGTTCTGTTTCTTTGTTCACTTATGGACTTAAGTGTTGTTCCAAAACTTGATTTTTGCATGTACCGATATGTCTTATTTGTTTGCCGACTGGTGGTACCTAGCCTCTCCGGCAAATGCACTCCGACTGTGAATGAAACCTCTAATTAGTCGACTCTTACGACATTCGTTTAGGTTGGTCTATTCTTGTGTTCCATCCATAAAGATATCCTCTATCGTGAATTACAGAGAGGTACAAGATGTCTAAACCTAACTCTACTAAGGTATACAGATGTGTACAAGCGGCATGTAAA